TTTCTCTTTTTCTCTCTTTCTCTCCCCGTGCGTGTACACGTGCGTGAATACGTGCGTGCGAGCTCGCGTGAGCGCGTGAGTGGTCGTGGTCGTGATCGCGATCGCGACCGTCGTCGTCACCGGGACATCACGCACCGCCTCCTGCGTGCGCGCATCCTTGCAGTCACGCACCCGTGCTCGCGGTCTCGGTTAGGGTTCACCGGCTGCGCCTGTAAAACCACACTCGTGATTAAATGACACTCGCCGCGGCTCGCGCGCCTCCGGCCGATCCACATCAATCGGTCCCCTCAACCTGTCCCACAAGTTCTTAATCTGCTAATGAATTTCTGCGAATAGATGGTACTCTTGCTGATGCAGAGATTGTTCGAATAAAATTCCTTATATTGCACAAAAATGAAAATACATGTAGGCAAGAAGCATATATATATATATAAGCTACTACTTTATATATTATTCGACACAGTTTCCAAGCGTTCCGAGGAAACTGCAGTATTTCTCAGCAATAGATCTCACTTATATATATAAAATCTACTTAAAACTAATTGAAAGAAAAACCGCGATATAACGGTGAAGCTCAGTTCGCTGCTTTTGATACTCAACATTTGGGAAAACCGACTGCTGCTTCATCTCACGGGAGGGGATCTTATTAACGCGAGGAATGCCGGATCGCATTAATGATTTATGATCCCCCTTCCGCTGTACTCGCGTGTCAAATTCGCTCGTGTGGCTCGCTCGTGTGCCTACGCTCGAGCCTTTCGAATATTTTCAATCATATCATCCCAGTGCACATCGAGGCTATCAGAGACGCGTATCAACTTCTCTCGGACGCATTGCGACCTGATGAGACTTAAGCCAACGTGATGAGCGGTGTGTTTCGGGTCTTCACGAGTCCCGGCGGGGCTGTGTATATAATAGAACGTAACATCCGAGACCGAAGTCACGACCGAAAGCGAAGGAGGACAGAGAGATCGATGGATCCCCCGGTGTTAATGATCAATTAGACCGCGCCTCGCGTCTAGTTACGCGCCGGATAGGCGCGCGTAACTTGACGAGCGATCTGCATGCGCTAACGCCGTTAATTACAACGTCGTTAATTACGAGCGTGTTCAATTGCGCGCGGAAATTGTTTAATAACCGGAGGAGCGGGCGCGCTGTGGCATTACTCGTGCAGACGCAAACGGATACCCGGGTCCGTGTGTATTTATCGCCGGGGTCCGGGCATGAGTAAACCGCCGCCAGAGACTCGCCCGGTCTAACGCCATTAATTATTACGAACAGGGTCAGCCCCGGTAAGTAGAGTGAAGCACGGACGAAGTGAAACACTCGACTCGAGGATCGAGTAAGGAGTCGAGCATGGCTCGAAGCGCCAGGCGGCTCCTCAGCTTCGCGCCAAAACGGAAGAAGACCGGAGATCCGTCCATGCGTTCCGTTTCTTACACTTTCTCGTTAATCGATTTCGAATTTCGATCAATATAGCTTCCGATCGTAACAAAGATCTGCAGTAAAATCAATCACGGTTAATCGCTAATTAGCACTATACTCTTAAGGATTACAGCATGATCCGTTTGTATCGTTTATAAATATGAATGCCCGTGAATTTAACAAGAAAAACACATCGTAATAATTTGTATAGAAAGAGGTAGTATATTTGTCATTATACGTCACTAAAATTCACGTGTAATAAGTTAAATTATTTATAATACTGGAAGAATCGAATTGTTTCCTTTTAAAGAGAAAAGAAGTTCTCTAACAGAGAGGACTCTTACAGGCTCTTTTTGGACATCGAGCTTCTCTCTCGTGGATCCGGCGAGTTATTTGGACTCATTCCTTCCAATCCGGTCACATGCGGTATCCTGATTCGATCCACTCGTCACAGGACCCTCGTCCTTCATTCGTGCGCGCGCGTATACTTTCGATTTCTTTTTTCGTTCGGAGAACGACAGGACTAGGACAGCGCGCGGTAAATTGGGCGATCGCCTCTGACCATCGAGAACTTTTATCCAGGATGGCGAGGACGACGATCGCGTGATCGGCGGCCAGCGAAGCGCACGTCGCGAACGCCACGCTGTTACTGAGCTCGGCGCGCTGGCATTCGCGATGGCCAAACCGAAAGCAGACTGGAGTCAGTTCCGTTCTGGAGGTGAGGCCTATCCGTTACAGAGAAGTCGGGGAGATGGTGATGACGATGCAGAGGCGGCGGTGGTGGACGACGACGAGGAGCAGGAGCGGATACTGAAAAGAAATTCCATTCTCGACGCACCGTGTGCGATTAAATAATATCAGTCCGGCCGTATAGGAAGAAGGTATCGTTACACGAACACAATATCAGTTGTATTCTTGTCCGAGGATAGCTGTACAACAGCAGCGAGCGAGTGATTGTTGGGCATCGGATGTTTTGAATCCTTCTATGAAATTTTTTTTTATCGAGCGATTTAAAAAATTTATACAAATATCTATAAGTCGATGCTTTTGTAAGGATACTCACACAACATGTTAGTTCGAGTCAAAATAAATTCGAGGCTCGAATGGGATAGAAATTAGAGGTACAAAGCACATCCGATTATTTCAGATGTATAATGAAATCTGAAATTATTTCGAATATTAAAGGAACTCCAAGACAGTTTATAGTGCTAAATAGCTGACTTTATTGTAGACAACTTTTACTTTTTAAGAATTCTGAACGTTTCAGGTAATTAAATATTTTCAAGGAAAGTTGTTGGGACGTTCAAGATCTTCATAAATTTCAAGACATTTGAAACTTTCGAGATCGTTCGGGACTTTTAAGAATTTGATTTTGAACAATTTTTTAAGTAATTCGAGTCTTTACGTGATTAAATCGTTTAATCAGGTTTCAAACAGGTTTTCAAACGAGGGATCCGAAATTCCATAGGTATAATGAGGGTTAACCATGTACGGAATTGCACAAGATCGCGAATTATCTGCTACGCTACAGTCGGATCCGCCCCTGCTGAGCGGAGCAGAGGAGCGAGGAAGAGCCCGAAGGAGCGAGTAGGAGCACCGACTCGGTGCGGAGCTGGTCCTTCGACGTCGAGGACCGACCCCGACCGGCGACGCATTTACATATCTCACGTGTAATAACCTCGAAAAAGTTTTAACAATGGCCCGAGGTTCGTCGTGAGGTGTTCGAGCGGGAAAGGCGAGAAGGCATATAGTGACGAGACTGCAGCAGGGGGAAGCGGGATTGAAGGAAGGGAACGTTCAACGAACGAACCGTCTGAAATCTCATAGGATGACAGAGAGGTCACGTTCTAGGACGGGATGCTCGCTAATCAGAAGCTTTTCATGGAATTCTATCAATCAATCATCGAAATCTGTCTCACAACGGAGGAATTATCCCTCCTTTTTAACAGCACTCCGAGAGGCAGTGCGCTGTAATATCAGCCGTCAATTTATTATGAATAATGAAGAATGACGAAGAATAGTTGCTAAATTTCGCTCGTTTTTCTCAATCAGCGTAATCTTACCGAGTTGCCGCTTAACTCGAAGATGTTATTCTTCAAAACGACGTATTAGAGCTACCAGTCTTCTGGCACGCCGCGCCGCGCCGGTCTTCTGCAGTCGCGCAAAAAGCACGCAAAATTGCAATCGCCGTTCTGCCTGAAAAAGAGTTGGGCCGCTCCCGTAAATGGGGAGGGAGGGGGGGAGGGAGAGAGAGAGAGAGAGAACCGTATTCGGAGCTTCGAACTTTCGAAGGGTCGATATTTATGTTTCCTGCCAGTCCGCCGCGGTGATCCGTAACATTATTGCGGGATACCAGGCTGTTTCGGATGTCCGCGCGTATAAGTGTGTATGTACGTGGAAACAAAAAAAGGAACGCGCATAAAAATTCGCCGCGTAATTCCCTCTCGCGTATCGCGCCGTAAATCGGCCCGAGAAAAAAGGGGCCCGCGGTTAAGAAGCGGAGGACCCCGACGACCGCAACGGTGTACTCACTCCGACTTCGCGTTCGAGTGAAGCGAACCAGTAGGAGGTAAAAACAGCGGCGAAAAAAACAGCGAATATATACCGTAAGTAAATCTCGTAACAATAAACGCGCTTATTTTTTTTTTTACAACCAACAGTCCTTGGGATTCTCGGTTTCTCCCCAAAACGAGACTGGCATACGCGGAGCTGTCGAAGCCGTAATAATGTAGAAGACACTTCCTTTCCCGTATGACACAAGAAAGAAATTCAATTGCCTACCCGATGTTAGCTTCGTTTTAGCCGAGTTCTATTATTATACAACCGCATGTATAATCTCAGAAACGAGACAGCTCGCGTTTGATTTCGAGAATGGAAGGATCGCGGCGGCGACGGCGGCGGCGACGTTGTCACGGGAGAGGCAAGAAACGCGAGGTATGTTAGGCGCTATTGCGGCATGGCCAGAGGTGGCCGACGTAGGTATACGTATACGTATGTACGAACGTACGGTTTGTCCGGTTTTCGAGACAAAGAGTTCGTCGAACTCCGAGCCGTTCGATCCGGCGGCGACCGGCTACCGAACGCGTCGCGGTCGTCCGCGTGACGTGCGACGCGTGCACCCACGTGCGAACTTAATGCGCGCACGTGTCGCGCGCGAAAATGCGAGAAGGAAGACGCAGAAATTCCCTCGAAATCGAGATCACGAGGAGGGTCGAGCGCACCGCGCGCGAGGAATCAGCAGTACGAAGAAAGATCATTACAAGGAGTAATATAGTTAAAATCTATGTATGTCGTATAACTCACTTATCATTTATATTGCGAAAGAATTCAGACTTTCGAGGCAACGTGAAAAACACGGGGTTCTTCAAAGGAGAACGACTTCTTCATACATATAAACACGTCAGAAAGAGGGAGGGAGAGGGACAGAGAGAGAGAGAGAGAGAGAGAGAGAGAGAGAGAGAAAGATTGTCTCCTAGAGTGGTAATGTCTGCAGGCCACACCCGGCCACTTTCTCCGCCGAAGCCAAAGTCATTCTCCG